TAATTTCTTTCTCTGAAACCAATTGAGACTTTCTTTGGCTGTGTGTTTTGAGATCGTTGTTCTACCATGATCTTTGTCACTTTCAAAAAAGCTTCCTGTGCATGCAAATGTCTAAAAATATTTGTGAATCTCTCTCTCTGTCAAAGCATCCAAATCATCCAGCGTTAAAGCGCCAGTGTAAAGCTGGGGCATGTGGGCTTCCACTTGCGTTACCTATATGAAAACAGAGCTTTTAGTTTCAAAGGAAAAGCAGAGATTTGAAAATCTATAAACTCTCAAAAATACTGAATACATGCTAACATATGATTATGGGCATATGGCTTAAAAAAGGTACTGGGTAATGGTGTGGTAGTTTATCTGCTGGGGAAACCATAGACCAAGGGTTCCCAACTCCAGTCCTCAAGAGCTAATTTCCTGCAGCTTTTAGATGCAGCATTACTCCAACACAGCTGAATAAAATGGTTAAATTGCCTCTTCAGAATGTCATCAAGGTTGGGGTTAGAGAGATGAAGGAGCAACCTCGGGGAATTAGGTGGATGGTGAAATTCAGGTGACCTAACAGTGAAAGCAGATACCATTTAGAGATAGAAGTGAGAAAGAGAAATGACTCTATGTCCAAATAGATGCCACTGCAACAGAGATGAATGGGATGAAATATCTGTGAAATATCAAAAACTGTGGGTATCAAAAACTGAGCAATATCAGAAAAAATAAAACATTATAATGACAGATATTAGCCATAATGGTTACGTCAGCAATACACACAAATCACATGGCAAACACATGATGTTTTAGGGAAGCTCTAAGCATCTTTTTCGAAACTTCCTTCTATTAAGAGACACCATCAGCATTTGGGATGGAAGGCATGTGAGGAAACGCTTAGTTTAGTAAGTTTAGTGAGGAATGAGGCAAGAATACAATTCCTGCTTGTGAAATGTTAAATGAGGACAACAGATTTCACAGCGTAGTCAGATGAGGAGCTGTCGTGGTCTGTGGCTATCTGGCCTTTTTTCCCTTCATTATGTATGAAGACATCATGTGTCTCCTCAGGAAGAGAGAACTTCTTTATGATCCAAATTTACCAAATCCATAAAAAAAAAATGGATGATCAGCATTGAATGTCACAACTAAAATGTTTCATATCCTGACATTACAGTGCGATCTGCCTTTTTAAAGTTAGTGTGAGCTGTGTGGAACACACATGTATTTACAGTACAATTAATGAGAAAAAAAGTGAAATACATTTTTAAAACTGCACAGTTTTTCATAGTACATCTCAGGCCATTCATACTCCGTGTTGTAAATAATGGTGCAGTGGTAAAAATATTATTGTGTTTTAGGTAAAATAAAGGTGAGATTCAGTTATCTTTGAGTGCGATCAAATGTCAAATATGGGGTCAGGGAGACACACTTTAATCCTTCAGGGCCTCTTAGGCAGTCAACAGTTGTACGACTGCCTCAGAGTGTCGGCAGTCATACAACTGTTTCCAACTAAATCTAGTTGTTTGTCTTTAAGAAAATGAAGTGAGAGTTGCGCCTGTTCATCAACAAATAACACAGCACTTTTACATCAGACAACAAATACAATGTTAAAGAGACTCAATTAAAAGAAATACATAAATTCAAGTACAGGTGCTTCATTAACTGACAATGTTTCATGAATGTAAACAAATTTATTTACACTTGAGGTGTATATTATTATTATTATTATTATTATTATTATTATTATTATTATTAGTAGTAGTAGTAGTAGTAGTAGTAGTAGTATAATATTGTTGTAATTGTTGCAGCCACATGACATTACTGGTCTTGTTCAAAGAGCCTTGTGTTGATGCCTGCATGTAACCTGTCTTTCTGTCTGTATCAAGAAGTTGTCTAAATTATTTTGTTGAAATGAAATATATTTTGGAAAAAGAATATCAGATTCTAAAGTGAGGCAACTTTAATTATAATGTCAAGCAAAAAGTAAAAGAGCTCTTATCCTTTTTATTTTAACTAGGTCTTCCAAACTGGAAATGTACTCTCAGAAGTGGCCTTGTATCTTTTAAACTGTATGTCAGCAGAAAAATAACCGGATAGTTAGTTTTGAACAATAGCTGTAGTCTCAGAAACACTGCCCAATCCTGTTTCCTCCTCTTGAAGAACATTCCCACATACAAGCACTGCCTATTCAGAAGTGACCTTAAAAGACACATCCTCAATAATATAAGAATTAATTGTTTAAGTGACTTCTTAATATAAGAAGCCCTTAAACAATAACAATAAGACAATAACTTCTATCCTGTTTTTCATGTGTATCTGTGACATTTCATTTCAGTATTTGAGCACGATCTTTTGTAATACCTCTTCAATGGGTTTTGCATCCTGTTTCAATGTCTTCCTCAATCTTTAATTACTTCCATTTCCCTTTCCCATACCAATTGTTTTATTTATTTATTTTTATTAAGTTCCTGATAGCCCTGTGACAGACTGACAACCTGTCCAGGGTGTATCCTGCCTATCTCCCTATGGTGGCTGGGATAGGTTCCAGCCACCCTGCGACCCTGAGTTGGATAAAGAAAATGGAATGATGGAAGTTCCCGATGTTTTCCACAAGATATCTGGTGAAACAACCCTGAACTATCAATTTGTTAAGTGTGAGGTCTTTAGTCATTTCCTAGTCCAAATTCTTAATTTTTCCAGAAGCACACTAAGAGTTACACCTTGAAGTGTTACACCTTTGTTGTGGTTTGCTATATATATAAAATTATTTTACTTCCAATATAAAATTATCATTCTGGCTATTTTATTGTAATAAAACTACAACACTTCTATAATAAAGTTAAACATTAACACTTACATTTGCTAGCTGGTTGACATCTAGTGTGGAATGTTCTAACTAAAGAACATCAAGGAAAAAAAAAGTTGCATCTTTAACATTCTTACGTAAATTAGTGTCCCCCATCAGAGTCAGAAAAGAAGATAAAACAGACTATACCTAATAATGAGACGGACAAGCCTGTGATAACATAAGCAGTATCAGTTTCACAGTCTGACTGCTCTTCATGTCCATTCTCAAAGCACCAGCATGGCAAGAAGTCAGATAAAAGTCAACTTGAGCTTGACAAATGGACTTCAGGAACCAAAAACTTATGACTATGTATCTTTTATATACAGTGCATCCGGAAAGTATTCACAGCGCTTCATTTGTTCCACATTTTGTCATATCACAGCTTTATTCCAAAATGGATTAAATTAATTGTAACCTTAAAATATTAGACACACTACGCCATAGTGACAACGTGAAAATGTTTGCTTAAAAACTCATGTAATAAATATGTTTCATTTAATAAATATGTTTATTTAATCAACAAACCAAAAAAGTATTCTAATATGTACATAAGTATTCACAGCCTTTTCCATGATACTAAGAATTAAGCTCAGGTGCATCCTGATTCCACTAATCATCTGTCAGATGTTTCTACAACTTGATTGGAGTCCATCTCTGGTAATTTCAGTTGACTTGACATAATTTGGAAAGGCATAAACTGGTCCATCAGATGACAGTGCATGTCAAAGGACAAACCAAGCCATGAAGCCCAAAGAATTGCCTGTAGATGTCCAAGACAGGTTTGAATCAAGGCACAGATCTGGGGAAGGGTACAGAAAAATTTCTGCAGCATTGAGGGTCCCAATGAGCACATCGTTTTACGTTATCCATCAATGGATGATGTAGCTCCTCAGTAAAAGCACTTTGAGGTGAGTGTTATTGTGATTTGGTGCTATGTAAGTAAAATGTAATTGAACTGAAATACAAGGTACACGACAGCCTGCCTGGAGTTTGCCTAAAGGAACTTGAAAGGCTCTTAGACATAAGAAACAAAATTCTCTGGTCTGATGAACCAAACATTGAACTCTTTGACCTGAATACCAAACGTCATGCCTGAAGGAAACCAAGCACAGCAGCATTACGCCTTGGGAATGTTTTTCAGCAGCAGGAATGATGAGGGGAAAGATGAATGCAGCAATGCATAGCATTATGCTTGATACAACTTGCTCCAGAGCGCTTGGACTAAGGCAAAGGGTTGTATTCCAACAGGACAATGATCCTAAGCACATAGCCAAGATAACAAAGGAGTGGCTTTGGGACCACTCTGTGAATGTCCTTAAGTGGCCAAGCCAGATGCTAGACTTGAACCTGATTTAACATATCAGGAGAAATCTGAAAACCAGTGCTCTCCATCCAACTTGATGGAGCTTGCTTGACAAGTGCTACAAAAAAGAATGTGAGAAACTGCCCCAAAATAGGTGTGCCAAACTTGTAGCATCATACTCAAAAAATACTTGTTGCTGTAACTGCTGCCAAAGGTGCTAGCAATGAGCCTAGGCTTTGAATACTTATGTACATGTTAGGGGTGGCTGTAGCTCAGGAGGCAGAGCAGGTCAATCCCTGGTTGCTCCAGTCTAATATCCTTGGGCAACATACTAACCCCAAATTGCTCTCCTATGTGTTCATCAGCGTATGAATGTGTGTGAATGTTAGATAGAAAGAACTTATGTAGAAAACACACAGAAAAAAGAGTATTGTATGTATAAGTATGTATGAGGCAAGTTGTATAAAGCACTTTGAGTGCTCAGATATCATAGTAAAGTGGTATGTGGGAACCAGTCCATTTAACATGTTATATTTTCTTTTCTTTTTAATAAATTCGCAAGAATTACAAGCTTAACTTTTTTCATTTGTCACTAGGGTAGGGTATTTTTTGTGGAATTTTGAGGTGAAATGGATTTAAACTATTTTGGAACAAGGCTGCAACATGGAAAAATGTGGAATGTGAAGGGCTGTCAATACTTTTGGGATGCACGGTATTTTTTGCATTTTTTTCCATATATTTTTTGTAGTGCTCTGAAAGTAGTGAAGATGTGCATATACAAGGAGGGGTGGGGTCTGCGGAGAATAAACTCAAGCTGGTCACTCAACTGCTATTTCCTTTGAATACATCACTACCAGTGGCTCGGCTTTAAAACACCACACACTCATTCAGCCTGTTGGCTTGCAGACTCAGAGGCAAGAGGAGCAAAACAGTGTCTTCTTTTATTATCAGACACCACTGATCATTGCTAAGAAGCAACCATGGCCATCAATAAATCCAAAGTAGCTGTTGGATTTATAGTGGCAGGCGGTCTGACTTTGATTTTTGGGGCAATTTCTTTAATTGTGGGACCAACAGTAATAAGCAACCAAGTTGTGAAGGTAAGTATTATCGTTATGTGAATACTTCAGAGTTTTATAATCAGGGTGTTCTGTTTATTTCCTGTTCCAGTTTAATTTCTTTGTCTTTTTTCTTTTGCTTAAGCGAATATAAATTCTTGTTTTTCTTTATTTTGCATAAAGGCAAAGCTTCTTCACAAAAAGATTTAGTTAGACTCATTCAGGTTAACATTTGCAGGTATAGCAACCATCTTATTGTATATGGAGTGTTTAAATAGCTTATCTATTATCTACAAAGAGCACTTGTCTTTGACTACATATTTATTGTGTCAGGTTACATATGTAGTCTGTTTACTCCTATTAACATTTTATTTAACAAAAAAATAAAATACCAATGTTTCACCAATGATGAACCAATGATTCCAAGCATGGAGGTTGCAGACATCATGGCACTGACTTCTGATCTGTTAGCTGAATGTTCACATGTCCAGACTACAGTTATCTATTTTAGATACACATATGTGCAGGTATATGTGTATGTATATGTATACATATGTATATTTAGTGTGTACATGTGTGTGTGTGTCTGTGTGCATATACATGTCTATACTTATAGATACTTATAGATATCTATTACTTACATATTACTTAAATTTCTTGCATATTTCCAGAACCCTCTATGCATAATCACATACTGTGCATGCTACCGTTGTATATAGTGTATTATCCTCCTTATTTTGTATTTGTTTGTATTTTATTTGTATTTTTGTATTTTTCTCCTGCTATTTGTACCTGAGCTGAGGTAGCGCACAAATTTCCCCGCCGTGGGATCAATAAAGTCTTATCTTATCTTATCTTATCTTATCTTATCTTATCTTATCTTATCTTATCTAAATGCAATGATATTTCCAGTATAACATCTGAAAACGAAACAAAGGAGGCTCTTAAGTGTTCTTAAAAACTGCTTCAAACACGTTCTTATATCTGGACCCACTGCTTTATCTAAATGAGGCAGAAATGTTTTTGGCAGGAGATTGAACCTCATGTGGGCTTTTATAGACCATCCATTCATCCATTCTCTTCCGCTTATAAAACTCAGGTCAGGGTCGCAGGGTGGCTCGAGCCTGTCCCAGCTTCCATAGGGCGAGAAGCAGGGTACACTCTGCACAGGTTGCCAGCCTAACACATAAAAACAGCATCTGGTATTCCCGTGCGGTATCCCATCCATGTGCTGTCCAGGCCCGACGCTGCTTAATATTCAGGATAAGCCATAAGCCATAGCACCCTGTTGCCTCACAGCAGGAAGGTCCTGAGTTCGGTTAATAAAAAAAAA